AGAAAAACGTAGGAGAAAAATGTCTTAAGTCTGAGGCTAGGTAAAGTTCTTAGTTCTGACACAATCCATAAAGAAAAAATAAAAATAAATTTGACTTCATTATCAATAAAAACATTTGTTCTGCAGACACTGTTAAAAGGTTGAAAATAAGCTCCAAACTGTAAGAAAAATATCTACAAACCACAGAGGATTCATTCCTGACTTAAAAAACTCAAAATAGTTATAAAAATCCAATCCAAAAATGAATACAGCACATGAACAGGTATTTCACCACACACAATTAATTACAGGAAACAAATAAGCACATAAAAATACATTCATTAGTCATAAGGAAAATACAAAATAAAAACCACAATAAGTAGGCCAGCCAGAGGTCCAGTGGTTGAGGGAATCAGATCCCATATGGTCAACTGTGGTTCAAATCCCATTTCCAGCAGCTTGAAAACATGTTGGGCTGTGTATGTGTGCATGTCACAAATCCCAACAGGGTGGAGAAATGAAGGACTGTGATGTAACCAATCCAAATTTGATGGTCGTTTCTCTCTCCCTCCCTCCTTCCCTCCCTCCCTCCCTCTCTCTGGCAAGGGCACTCACTCTGGCAATTAAGAAAAAAGAAAAAGAAACACACACACACACAGCATTATTATACACATATACACACATATAAGTTTTAAAAAAGAAACAATACCAAATGCTGATGCTGATAAGAATGTGGAAAAACTGGGTTTCTTCTACATTGTTGCCTTGAATGTAACATGATGTAGCCTCCCTCTGTATTAGTTTGCTAGGACTGCCATAACAAAATACTACAGATTCGTGGTTTAAGAGATAATTCTTTTCTCACTGATTGAGGCAGGAAGTCTAAGAGCAAGGTGCTGGCAGGCGTGGTTCCCTGAGGCCTGGCTCCTTGGTTTACAGATAGCTACTGTCTTGCCTCTTCACATGGTTATCTCTGAGCACGTGCACTCTTGGTACTTCTGAGAACGCCAGGTGTATTGGATTAGATCCTACCCTAATGCACTCATTTTAATTTAATCTCCTCCTTGAAGACTTTATATTCCCAAATATGGTTACATTTTGAGCTATGGGGGATTAGGACTTTCATATATAAACTCTAGGGGGACACAATACAGTACCTAACAACCCCTGTGGAAGGAAAGTAGACTTAAATTTTTCTTAAGAGTAGTAACACACACACATTATTCCTATTATCTTTATTGCTCAGAAAGTTCTGGTCTCAAAGACACCATGTTCAGGTAGTAGACACAGGAGTCGCCTGAAGTTCCTTCTCTGCAAGTCGTCAGGAATTGAACAATGAGAAGATCAGTGCATAAAAGGATGATACTAGAGGACTAACAAAGTGGTGATTTCTAGTGTTTTACATCACGTGGCCCCACTCTATCCCCTTTTTAACAGAATACTGTTCAGCCACAGAAGTACGGGGCAGATCTGCACACTAAGCTCCCTGTCATGTGAGCAGCGTGGATCTCAGTTCCATCGCAGCTGCCAGGCCCCATTCTGAAAATCTGGGTGATTCTGGAGCTGGCTCATCAGATTAAATGAAATGCGTTTCACAAAGCATTCGGGGAAAATTACAAAGCCGACAAATTCTTACCACTGCTATTGATAAGATCACCTCATTTTCATGAGATTTTTATCAGCACTCATTTCCTTTCTAGGCTTTTTCCTATTAAATATTTATGCATTAATATACAAAATTACACCTCTAAATTTGAGAAAATTAACTCTGTATTTTCCTTTCACCTAAAGCCAAGTGGTACGTTCACATTTCAATCTCTGCTCTAAGATTTAAAGAATTCTGTTCAAATTCTCAAACAAAATACCAGTCTTTAAAAATCTACTTATCCACTCCACTAAAAGAACTTTCAACTGCATCTATCCAATCAACACAGGAGTGCTCAGAATACTGTCACAACTGAAATACTGTCACAGCTGAAATACTTGTCAGATGAAAGCACACAGCATTACTCATGGTACATTATAGACACTCAAGCTTATTTTGAGTGTCTCAAATGCGCAGCACCATCCAATGTGTTCAACTTCTAGGCTTCAAATCAATGCCAGCAAAAGGGTGATCAGGGTATCAGTTTTAATCTCTCGCTCTGCTCCACCTGCATAGGCTATTGCTTGATAAAACAGGTCAAATCCATGGTTCTCTGCTATAAAATATTTCAGGCACACTGTTCATTTTTCAGTTGGTAGAACACCAATGCCTGGGTGATTTATAACGTTTGTTACACAGCTCATAGTTCAGAAGATGAAGTCAAGGGGCTGCACCTAGTGGGACCCCCTAGCTGGTGGGAGCTCTGTGCCAAGCCCCAACATAGCCCCGAGCATCTGATGGTGAGAGGGCACGCTCATGTCTGTCAACTCGGCTCTCTCTTCTTATAAAGCCACCAGTACACGATCACAGAGGACCCACACTATAGATTTTATCTCATTCACCTCTCAAAGACTCCAAATCTTAAAATCATAGTCAGGGGGTCAGAAGGCAACATGGTGGTTAAGGAGCTGGACACCCACATGACTGACTACGGCTCAAGTCCCAGACCAGGCGGCTTGCTTTCTCACTTTCAATCTCTCTCTATGATGAGCATGTATATCCTGTAGCAAATTGAAAAAATTAAATAAAATTAATAACCAATTCTTTAAAAAAGTTATACTTCCACAACAAAGTTAAGATTTTTCTCCTCCTCTAGGAATAGGATAGCTATAAACCTGAAATAGAGGAATGGTGATTAAAGGTAAGGTGTTAAAATTATATAAAATAAAATGTTTGCAATTACAATTAAAAACCCTTACTACCCAGTAAAACTATGGATTGCTATATAATGCAATGCTAAACAGTCAGGACAAATGAACAGAGGATACTAAATATATGTCATGTGCCATGGAGGTTAAGGTGGACTAGATTCCACATGGCCAACTGCATGGTTTGAGTCCTAGACCTGGTGGCTTGGAAAACACACTGGGTGCACATATGTGCATGACCCCCCAAATTGCAAGAGGATAGTGGAGAAGGGATTGTGGCATGGTCATCCCAAGGGGTGCTTTCACTTTCTCATGCTTTCTGTTGAGCACATTTATTTTATAGCAAATTTAAAAAGATAGATATTAGGTGAAAAAAAGAAATTGGTGCCAAAAAGTGTACGAGGATATGGGACATTTTCTAGATATTTCTTAAAGTATGTTTGAAACACTATACTAAAATTGCTTTAAAATGAGCAGGAATAGGGCCAGTGGCCGCTAGACCTCACACGGCGAAATGCATGGTTCAGGCGTCAGACCTGGTGGCTTGAGAAATACACTGGGCCTGCCTGCAAGTATACTGAAAATCTCAAGAGAATGGGCAACATTATCAACAGAATTAATTTTAAGAACTAGTATGTCTTGAGACTAGCAGATGGCGTAATGGTTACGTCACTGGACTCTTGTAGTTGACCACAGTTCAAGTACCAGACCCACTGGCTTCAAACTCACATCAGGCTCACGTGAACGTGTGTGCCCAAAATCCTGAGAGAATGGAGAAGGGACTGCAGCACAGCCAACAGACACCACCCCCGGGGGGGGGGGGGGGGGCGTGATTTCTTGCTCTGTCTCTCTGGTGAGCGCACATACCCTATAGAAAAATCTCTCAAAAAAAACTAATATGTCTGATTATTTTTTTCAAGTAATTAGGGTAAGCTCAATTCCCTCCCCAAATATGCGGTAGTTTGCTAATCAAACACACTAACTTGCACACATAAAATACATAAATTGGATCTAACGTTTAACAAAAGGTTAACTGGCTGTCTTCAGGAAATTAGGGCTGGGATAAGAACTTTTTTTCATTGATAATATTTTTGCCTTGTCCACATTACCAATTTTGATCAAGAGTTGTCCTCCTTCGTTTGCAAGATAATACAATGTTATTAAACAATTCACCTTTACTTTCTTGTCATTTAACAGGCCAAGCAAGCTCCCTTTGCCTGGAATGTTCTCCCCTCTAGATAGTCAAATGGTGAGCTGAGCCTCTCCTCGGGATTCCATTTATATATTATTTTATCACAGAGAGAAGGAACCAACCCCCACCCCTTAAAATTAACATCTCCTGTTTATGAGTCTCTTTCTTTACCAGGTTGTTTCCCTATAGCACTCACTGCCATTTAAAATCAAACCCTGCAGTTGTTTCTTTTCTGTAACACTTGGTCATTGAGACAAGAGTATTGGGCTGGTTTGTTCCCTCCTAGCTGCAAGAACAGTACTGAGCAAACTTATGCTTAATTAATACTTGATTTAAGGAACCATAATTTGAAAGAGGCAGTAGTCCTGAGAAACAACTAGAGAGAGCATAGTGTTTCCAAACTTGGGGGCACCACCCTGGGGGACAGAAACTTGTTGGAAAGACTTTCTCTGCCTCTTTTCTGAAAGCCACACATAGATGAAAAGATTTCAAGCAGTTCTTGGAAAAGCAGAATTAAAACAGAGTTTGTTTTGGTGCAAAACAAGTGTTTTGAAATCCATCCACAGGTTCTGTAGAGTATGCATTCTCCGTGAACTTTCTGAAGAACCTCTCTCACACACATTGGTTGGTGTTGAAAACCTCAGGCTGGAGTTCAAAGGTGTCACAACTACGTACTCTTCTGTTAATCAAAAAGAAACTAACACTGAATCTAAAGCGGATACCATAAAATCCATCAAATCAAGATTACTCAAGAGATACAGATTACTGAGCAATTCCTGCCAAGAGTACTGCACTCAGACATGAACTTGTTAGTTCTGAGCTTTACATTTCAAAGAGAATCCATGTTTTATTATCTCACATCCATATGCCTAAATTTACTCAATGGCGCTAAATCAACTTTACATTTGGCTTTGACTTAACTACTATTGACTTTAATTACTTTGAATTTAACTACTATTAAACAAGTTAAGTGAATGAAGTGGGGCAGGGGACAAAACAGATGCCAAGACGGAAAAATATACTCCAGTTACACATCTTTTTTCCTTTGAAGGGTAAAAATTTTATTTCTGAGGAACTTTTTTACTGCCCATTTTCAAAGAGAGTCACATAAGCAAAAATGTTATCCTCCCCCATCCTAGAAATAAATAAGGGCATAAAATTTCTTTTTTTAAATCATGACACTTGGAAGTTTAGCACCAGCATCCAAAATGAACAAAAAAAGGGAAAAAAGAAAAAGCATTTACTATATATTTCAGATTTCTTTGGTTGGGGTTCTCCCCGTGTGGTATTAAGATTTCTTTCAATTTATATTACCAAAACAGTAAAAACCAGGAAAAAATTATAAACCTAGTTGGTTGCTGAAACCGAGGAGGGTGCTCTCTTGCCGTCTGTGCAGGCGTTCCTGGGACCTCGGCTTGCTGGAGAAACTTGCTGACGGTTTTCCTTCTGCAGTTGCTAGTTTCTTAAAGAGTAATTGTAAACATTCCCATGTCCAAATCTTGGTTTGTCTTCCACTTTTATTGCTTGCATGTTTCTTTGGTGTTGGTAAGGTCGTGGTTTGCTTTTTGCTTTATTTTATTTTTGAATGGTCATTAATTCTTTAGGTCACCTGGAAGAAATTAAAACCAAACTTACAAATAGTGACAAAATGACCAAAAGATAAATAACAAGGCAAAAACTGTTTTTATTCTTTTTAGTTTGCTACAGAGAAGGAAAGTGGGAAATTGCCCTCCCCCCCCCCCGGAGGATGGCCATTCTGCAATCCCTCCCCCTCTATTTTTCCCTCCGGATTTTGGGCACACACATACGCGCCTGGGGTGATTTTCAAGCTGCCTAGTACAGGACTCAAACCACAGAGAGAGCCATGTGGAATCCAGCACTTAACCACCACGCTATCTGCTGGCCCATAAAATATTCTTATAAAACAGAAGTCAACCCATAATAGTAAAAATTCTGTAAAGCTGTATTAGAGGAAATTACCACCATGAGGCCTCACCAAGTAACTACTACTCTAACATCAGTAACTCTTCATACAAAAATACCTCAGTAGCTACGCCCTATCTCCTAATACGGGTATAGCACAAGTAGCTAGCCATTTCTCTGAGAGCAGACAAACGATAAATTGTAGAAATAGTTCTTCCTCATATTTTGGATTTTCTTTTTTTAAGTAACAATACCTAAAATAGTGCTATCCAGTAAAAGGCTATGGCCAGTTTTACATGATTAATATTTAAAACTCTGAGTCAGTTATTGAAATTCTGAATAGGAAGATGATGTATTTCTAAGATAAATTATCCATGTTACTCAAGAGAGAAAATATCAACAGCATAGCAGTTGTCTACCTAATGAAAGCCTGACTTAAATCACAAACCACTGCACATAAAAGCAGATCACAATAAAAAGCAGGAACATGTAATAATCCCCAAATTTTCATCATAAAACTTTTTTTTTTTGGAGAGGTTTTCGCTATAGGGTGCATGTGCTCGCCAGACAGACCAAGAGAGACATAGAGACAGAAAGCGAGAAATCACCCCCAGGGGGGCTGGTCACGCCGCAATCCCTTCTCCTCCATTCTCCTCTCGGGATCCTGGGCACGCACACACATGTGCCTGGCATGAGTTTTAAGCCACTGGGTCCGGGACGCGAACTGCGGTTGACTACATGGGAGTCCAGCGACATAGCCATTACACTAACTGCTGGTCCATTATAAAACTTTTAAAAATAAAAAAATTAAAAAAAAAAAAAATCAACGTTTGGGTTTTACCACCTCTTTTTTAACTAAAAGTACCAACCAAGAACTATAAAAATTGTGTCCCAGTTAAAACGCTGCTAGGTCCAAAAAACTCAGAATGAAATCTACTATGGCATATGAAATTTTATAATATATTCATTCATTCATTTGTGGTTGTGATTTTCAGGGTGCCGAGTCTAGTACTTGAACTGTGATCAGTCATGTGAGAGTAGTACTTGAACTGTGATCAGTCATGTGAGAGTCCACCATGCCACCTTCCACTCTGGTATATCAAATTTTTAAAGACTGGCTTTATAATTGGGCTGGTGCTTTTGTTTTGCTTTGTTTTTGAAGAGAGATTTTTGCTATCGGGTGTGTGCACTGTGCCAGAGAGACAGAAATAGAAAAGTCACCCCCCCAAGGGTGATGGTCAAACTGCAATCCCTTCTCCTCCATTCTCCTCTTGGGATTTTGGGCACACACACACACACACACACACACACGCGCGCGCGCCTGGGAAGAGTGAAACTGCTGGGTCTGGGACTCAAATCGTGGTCAACTATGTGGGAGTCCAGTTACACAACCGTTATGCCATCTGCTGGTCCCTTGGGCTGGTCTTTCTACCTATGTAAATAAAATTTCCAAGATCTTTAACAAGACATAGTAGGAAACAATGATGAAAGTAACAAAGTCACCTTTAACAAGCGGTTCTTTACCACACCCTACACTGTACACACTGTATCCATGAGTTATTTCACTGAACCCTCCAACCTCAGGTAAGTACATAGCAGCCCATTTCTCAGTAGCAGATATCAGGGCAGCAGAGGGTGAATGCACTGCTTGAGATCACCTGGCAAATGGGAGCCGCAACAGAGCCTGCAACCAGGCAGGAAAATCCCTTGGCTCTCACGTTATACTGCTTTGCTTCAAAATGAGTAATGTCAGGGAACCAGCAGTTAGCGTAATGGCTATGTTGCTGGACTCCCATGAAGCCGACCACGGTTCGAGTCCTGGACCCGGTGGCTTAAACTCATGCCAGGCGTGTGTGTGTGTGTGTGTGTGTGTGTGTGTACCCAAGATCCCGAGAGGAGAATAGAGAAGGGACTGTGGCGTGGCCATCGCCTCTGGGGGGTAATTTTTCACTTTCTGCGTCTCTGTTGCGCTCAGTCTTTCTGGTGAGCATGCACGCCCTATAGCAAAAACCTCTTCCACAATAAAAAACAAAAGAGTAATGCTGGTCATCAAGGGAAAAGGCGAATGAGAAAATACTCTAGCTTATTCTATAAAAAAAGGTCTTCTGCTTCTAATGCCAGGTCTGTCAGGAACTTCCGCACACTGCCCTTCAGTGCTGGAGCCATGTGGGTGATCAGGTTCAAATCCTAGGTCCACCTGAAACATGCGGGCATGAGTGCATCTATGCTTTTGGTTGCCTGGAAGGCAAGGCGAGGGATCTTGGCACTAAGCCACCCTGTTTTTGGTGCCTGTTCTTTCCCATCCCCTCTCACATATGCACATCTCTCAGGAAAGACAGAAAAATTTTAAAACTGCCTAGAAAGAAATTAATTATCGTCAACTATCTGTTTAGAACCCCCAAGCTTATCAAAATAATGTCAACCCCAGAGATATTTAACCACCAGAACTGCCCTTTCCCAGCATCCAGATGGAGATGGAGGTTGGCAGAGAGGACCTGCAGAGCTGTAATAGTTTACAGACCAATCATGGGGGGACTGCTCACGGCTTACCCTGCAGATGGTGAAGGTGCCTGGGGAGCCTGGCGTTACTCAGCGCTGCTCTGCTCGGTGGCTGGAGCAGGGTTCTCAGTTGGTGCTTCACCTGCCTTGGTCTAAAACATAAAACCACCACAAACCAGAAATGAAGCAATTCAGATGACAATGCTAAGGTCAATACTATCTCAAATGTGAATTTTCTTTGTTTACAAAGAAAAATCAGCATGCAAGAATTAAACTGTTCTTATATATGAGTAAAAGTTAAGTACTGCCAAATGACAAGGAAATACCACCACTCTTTGTAAAGTCTGTAACAACTGCTCTCAGCTTGGGCTGAGAGGCAGGCTTCCTCTTGATAAATGTTCTTTATTTGTGCAGCCCTAAATGTTTTAGCTATAGTCCCCTTTAGTGTGGGTAATTTCTTCAGAGAGCATTAATTAGCTGAATTCAAATATCCCGTTTGTGTTAGGTGCCAGACATGCTCTATGTAGATCTTAAGCAAAACATTATTTGTTAAACACAAAGTTACCCAACAGTAAGACCACCCTTTCAGAGTGCTCCACTCTGCCATGACTCAGATGGCCTGGCGATACCCTCTCGGTTGGGCTAGAGTTACCTCTTTGCCATCTTGTGAGGGAGCATTAGGAGGACGGGGGCGGCGCCGGTAGTTGTAAGGACGCCGGTATCCTCGGCGAACAGATGGCTGGTTCGGACCATTGGCCGCTTGTTGATTCTCTTTGTCTTCAGCCTCTCCCACAGCCGGGGCAGGTCGTGGGCGAGGAGGTCCCCTACAGCAGAGAAGACAGAACCAGACAGAACAAGTGCAAGGGGACTGGCGTTCTCAAGAATATTAGGTTTAATTTATTTTTACAAAGATTAAAAAGTGATCAGGACTTATTGCTAGAATTATTCCCACGATAATGCAGCAAACTAAAACAGAAGGTGGGTGAAAATAGAACTTATTTTCCCCTTCATCTGAATACAGATGTAATGAACAAACATGTACTGAACACAAACTATGTTCCTAGTGCAGTTTGATAGGCACCAAGGATAGGAAAATTAACAGGGAAAAAAAGAAAAGGGTCTGGTACCTGTACTCCATGAACAGGACTTAGTAGCGACTAGGGAAGAAAACTAACATTACTGTGTGCCGGAGGCTGTGCTAGTATGTTTTCACATTAAAAACACAACGTCAGTGCTAGTTCTATGAGTTAGATTTACAGTGAGAAACCCGAGGTTTACAGACAGTAAGGATGTGCTTGAGTCATAGAGAAGTGCCGCTTTTTATAGGTCAAAAAAGATCAAAGGAGCCTTTTTCCAAGATGGCCTAGCTACGGATTGATCTGGGAGGCACATATGCAATACTACTGACTCTCTTCTGTCTCATTAAGACATTTCTGTCAAGTCTTACAAGTCCTTAGTAATTAATCATTAGTAATTACACCTAAAACTGGAATGAATCTATAAGAAAGGAGAGACTAGTACAAATTCTTTCCTATATATTCTTATATCCTACAAATCCTTTCCTATTATGTTACATTATATTAATTAAAATCAATATTATATTAATATTATATCATATTCAAATAACTACAATTATATCACCAATTATAAGTAATGTTAACATATAATACTCTCCATTCAAAAAACCCACAGTGACAAATTTCAAGGTAGCATAAATAACACTTGGGAAGGAAGGTCTACATTTTCCACTTACCTTAAGGTAAAGGAACAGGCAAACTTGTAATAGAAAACACTTCAGAAGTATCTTAGGGAATTTACGGCCTTCATAAGGGCACAAATTAAAGCACGAATTAAATAACTTGCTCCTACACTAACACTAGTGTCACTGGTGGTAACAATATCTGATATTTACTAAAGGCTGACTATACATCACATTGATTATCATAGATACACTATGAATCCTACACTGAATCCTACAAGCAGTTATAGAACATTGCTTAATGCCTGCTTTATAGACCTGGAGACTAAGGCTTAAAGGGTCCAGAAATTTGCCTAAGGACATACAGCTACTAACATGCAGAGTGAGAATTTAAATACTGGCAATTTGATACATAGCCTGAAAGAACCCATTTATACTGGATTGCCTCCATGATTCAAGTTCTAGTTGTTAAGTAGGAGAGAAATATCACACTGCCACCTGCTAACACATACTAAGGAGTTCCATAGAAACTCTGGCATATGGTCAAAGGAGCCACATCTATCTACTTACTAAATCCATAAAACAGACCATGGTACCCTCATCCATGCCAGTCTCTCACGAGTCCTTCAGGCGGTCACAACTTAGTGGGAATGCTACATACCTTCGGTACCTTGGGCGGTAAGTTGGATTCCGATGAACCTGTCCCTGAAGTTGAGCTCCCTCTGGAACCCCATCCTTCATCTCTCCAATCTCACCAGCCTAGAGAGGACAATAAGAGCTGAAAGTGAGGGTCACAGCACAGGCATAAGATTAACAGAGCCCTCGGGTATGTTTAGTACTTTTATTAAAAAAAAAAAAAAAAAAAAAGGAGAAAGAAAACAGTTTCACTATAATGCAGGGTATTCTCAGAGATAACACTAAGCTATTTACTGATTGGGAAGAAGAAAAATTCAGTCCTGTAAGAGCAATCTTCCATCTAATCCCAAGGAACCTCACTTTCACAATACTAATTAAACGTTATGAAATGCGATATGCTCCATTCAAGAAAGAAACCTATTTTATAAGGAAATGGAACAACATACTACATTTGATCAGTGAGATCTCTTCAGTGATTTAAAACTCAGACTAATTCTACAAACTGGGATCCTTCAGTGCCACTAATGCTTTCTACAAGGGCTCTCTCCCATCTCGCCATGACACCATGAAGTCACATCTTAGCCAAGCCTTCATCTTTGATTTCTTCTTTTCACAACTTATTTCCTTTTACCTGGGAATTCCTTTTATACATTATTTAAGTACATATAACATTCTGAAAAATACACCTTCTTGATGATCAACTTGTTTTAAGCTCAGGGGAATAAAGTTAGCTTGCTGTACAACTTCCAATAGAGGAAAAAAGAAAAAAAAGCTAAAACTAACAAATAAGAAAACACTACACACTGTGAAATTCTTTATCCCACAGGTATATCTGAATTTTTTTTTTTAACTGAAAACACCCTTTCTTAGAGCCAAACGCCATCCTTCAGATTTCATTAAGAAAAGAAAAACCAATCAGAAGAGAATCTCCATATTTTCCTACAATCGAATCCACTAACTCATGTGCAACTGTGTAATCTTTTTTTCTCCCATTACAAACTAACCCCTCCATTCTTACCACCCAGCACAGGCTAACTTAATTTTTCTCCTCTCTTAAATATACATTTCCCATCTCTACTCCATTATCTGCATTCAGGTATATATACAAGTATTGAAATAGCACCCACGTGGACCAGCAGTTGGCGTAATGGCTAGGTCACTGGACTCCCATGTAGTTGACGGTGGTTCGAGTCCCAGACCCAGTGTCTTAAACTCACGCCTGGCACATGTGCGTACATGCCCAAGATCCTGAGAGGAGAATGGAAAAGAAGGGATTGAGGTGTGGCCATCCCTCCCTCCCCAGGGCGGGGGAGGGGGGTGATTTCTCACTTTCTGGCAAGCACACTCACCCTATAGCAAAAAACTATTAAAAATAAAAAGAAATAGCACCCACATTTTTCACTTTTTTAATATTGAAATATCACAAACTTACAGAGAAGTTCAAAGTGTAAAAGCTAACCCTCTCACTCACTTGAGTTTTACTGTTTGCCCCAATAATGTCCTATACAACAAAAAGACCCTTTAGAATCATGCACTGAATGGAGTTACAGCCCATGTTCTCTGGCACAACTATTCAATCTTTGTTGGCTTTCATGACCTTGACACTTAAGCCACTTTACAAAATGTCTCTTTCACTACAGTCTGGTGTTTCTGAAGACTACACTCAGTTTATGACTCTGAGGCAGGAAAGTCACCGAAGTGACACTGCATTCTTCTTGGTGCACCGTTAGGCAGTGTCTGGTTTCAATCTGTACCAGCACTGACTACTTTCACTCTAAGCAGTGAAGGCCGTTCTGCCAACGTCCACCACTACAC